ATCCAGTAAAATCCAGTAAAGAAGTGCAACTTCAACTGTAATTTATCGTTCTCTCAATTTCCCCTACTTTGCTAGCGTACGAAAACGTCAAAACATGCAAATTCGTAAAAACTTTTACTAGATTTTACTGGAAATGAGTAAACAAACGCCACTAATGTATAGATAAGGTACATACATATGTACATACGTACACTGAGAAAAAAGCATTTCCTTGAAACAAGAAACTAGTTTCCTTATTTTAGAGTTACTGTTTTTTCCTTAATATGACGAAAAAAATTACCTACAAGATGTAGCTTCAAACAATGTCAGTCTTACGGCGATAAGAGAAAATTCAATTTTCAATAATATCAATAATTTTCAAGTTCTAGACACTTAGCTGTTGATCAACTTCATAATGTTTTTGAACGGGTATTAAAATATGATTTTTGCAATATTATACTTTTATATATTTCTAACAAAGTTTTTGACTTAGATTTTTTCAATCTTCGGAAACGATATTTCAACTATGATGAAAGCGAGATTGGAAATATGTAACCACCGTTTGAAATGAAGCACCTTAAAACTTTTTGTTTGAAGTTCTAGCAATAAAATGATCGATTACTTTTCCAGAAACAATTATTAATAACGATAATTCTCAACACAAATTTAATAAAAAATAATACAAAATTCAATATTCTTTATATTATTCTTTAATTAAAACAAAAATTGATATCGGAGTAATCGAGCAGTCTAAATGTTATGAAAGTATTGAATACAATGGAACATTATATAAATCTGAATTTGTGATTTATTTCTATAAACCATTATTTTGCGCTTATGTTATCAAAGTAATAGTTGCATCAAATAATGATATTCATATTTTATGTGAAAAACTGGAAACAGTAGCATAAAAAAATCAGTTTTTGTCATATCATATTAAAAAACAAAATTGGGAATTGAAACTTCTTAACATAAAAGATATAAGATATCCTCCTCTTCATAAGCATATTGTAAACAATACGTTCTTAGTTAAACCTCAGCAGTTCTTTTAAGACATATGTTATACATAGATACATACATCTAAAACATTTGAAATAAAATATAAAACAATAAAAATTTAAATTCGTCATTTCTTTATTAAAACATCCCTTTCCTAGGATTTCATAACACTGAGGAAATTTACAATTCTTTAAGATGAGTAAAATAAAATTGTGAATTTTCTCAACACTAGTAAAAACAGTTCCTCTTGACAAGTTAATTTTTCCCAAGAAGAAAGAAAATAGTATTGAAAACTAAGGAATTGTGTTTCCTTAAACTAAGAAAAATCGTTTACTCATATTAAGGCAGCTATGTCATTGGAGCCATTTCAAGGTAATATATCCTTAGAATTATACATATATGTATTTTTTTTTCCTAGCATCAAGGAATGCTTTTTCTGAGTGTACGTTCGTGCATACATTCTAATGTATGAATGTATGAATGAATTTTTGTATAGATTTGTATATGGCAGGTATTGTTCCAAAGTAATATCCACAAATCCATATAAAATTAGCACTTTTTTTGCTTTCTGCAAAATTAATTCTATTAAATTAGCTCATTTAGAGCTAAGTCAGGTAACAGCCGTCCCTTTTAATAACGGGTTTGTTTTCTGATTTTTTGGTATATGTAGGCAGCTGAAATGCAAAAATTTTGTGCAAAACAGAATTGCGCATATGTATCTATGTATGTAGGCAAGTTTGTATGTGTAATGTGCATCATATATGCTACATCAGCGTTGCCATAGTGAAGATTTATCTTCAAAATGAAGATTTTTTGGCCTGTTTTTTATTAAAAATCTTCAAAAAAGATTTTTTTAAAAGCAAAATTTACACTGAATTACAGAATTACACTGAAAATGTCTTCAGAATAACGATTTTTGTGTATGATGTAAGATTTTTAAAATTTAAGTTAAAATTGTTAACTTTTTTATGTTATTCCTGTAAATCGTGGTAACCAGCAAATGAAGGAAGAGGAAAAATTCTGTTTATGTTGTTTCTAAAAAATCTAATCAAAAACCTAGCAATTGTTATGAAACATTGTCGAATTTTCTTAACTTTTGAAGTTTGGACGTATATGGCATTATTAATTTTTAGTTTAAGATGATATAAAAAGGATTTTTTAATTTGAAATTGTTTATTTTTTGAGTCTACATAATAAAGGCTATTTACAGCCGTAAATGCAATATAGAATTATGTGTTTCTTTGGAGGTATTTTTAAACGAAGATTTCTTATCTTCATTCTTATTTTGAGGATTCTGTTTTTTGAAAAATTAAGATATTTACGGGGTTTTCTCTGGCAACACTGATGTATATACCCATAAACACATTTATAACATATGCACATACGTACATGCATGAAAAGTCTCGTACTTAATGGCGAGATTCTTCTGAGTATGAGGAACAGTGGGTGGGATTGCAAATATTTAGGAAAAATTTTTTGTATTTCTACTTATTATGTACTTAAGAAAGAGGTAAATTTTTCCAAATATTTAAAAATAATATTCTCAATGAAGTGCTAATAATAGCCTACGAGTAGTTAATAAACTAGACCTAAAGTCTCTTCACCAGTTATTAATTTGGACCAACATTTCGTTTGGTTGCGACCAATTGTACCTTTCTGCATATCATTGAAGAAGAAGCAGGTCAAATTGACCCTTTTACATTACAAAACAAAAACAAGTAACTGATACATTGTGCATTGTGCATTCTATCCAGCGTTACAATTGGACCATTTTTGTCATCTACATTCCTAGCATTACAGTACATTCAGCTTGAGGACTATTTTTGGTCTAGTTACAAAACAACTATGCTTATGGTGGATAATATAGATTGTTCCATGTGCTATTGATTACAAACATAAAAGAAAGGAAACGTGCACCAATTCACATACAATTCCATTAGAATGCATTTTCTTCCAAGTAATTAAATATATTTTAATATCCAATTTTTATAGTTTGTTTCATAAAGGATTTACAACTGGTTGTTTAAGACATTTACCAGGCTTGACCAGAGCAGATTTAAAGTACCAACTTTGCTCTTTGCTCTTTCAAGTGCACTCTCTTCAACTAATAAAATCAGTTAAAATCGGGAAAAGATGGAACTTGTTGTGACATTTAACAACCGGCCTTAAAAGTAATGTGTGAAGTACACAATGTGTACAAACAAATTTATAAATTGATAAAACCATTCCTGACTAACCCCGTTCATTTTCCAACATTTTGTTATTATCGAATTTCTTACTATTTAGGGCCGTTTTCTCAAGTAACCTGTAAGTTTAAAGTTCACTTTATATTTAAACGTAGCATTAAAATTTGTGATTGTAAAAGTCAAGCATTTTATTATCGGTTTTAAATTGGCTTACAACCAAGAAAGATACATACGTCCATGGGCGTAGCCAGGTAGGGGCAGGGGGGGGCTCGAGCCCCCCTAACTTTCAAATTTTCCTTATATATATATAAAATAGTACCCTGAAATGCCAGCTTAATAGGGTCAAACCCCCCCTCCCCCCTAAATTTCATTCTGGCTACGCCGATGAACCCAGGTCTTCGACAGGATATAGGCAGTGGTCAGCGCTAGAAGGGCGTTCAAAACANTTGTAGATTATGGTGGATATGAATTTGAAGCGAGTAGTAATTAAAATATTGGAGTCGTTATTGTACGATTTTACCAATTTCCAATATCTCCCTTCCATTTCTTGTTTCCCTCTGAGCACTTAGATATTTACATACATACATATGTGCATATCTACATATATCGGGTATATATGTACGTATGCACCCTGCAGCAATTCTAACTAGGTTAGCCCTCTAATAGTCTCTATTGTTACTAGTACTAGTCCCTCATAATTCCCCTGCCAATGGTTTTGACTGTCATTTTTAACATTGGCGTGTCATTGGGCCGGTCCAGCAACTCAACGTAAGATGTCCTATTGTCGTTACCCTGCAAAAATCATGGGACCATGTAGTCTATTTGTGGTAAATTGGAGTACTTACAAAAGTGTTCCTCTGTCATGCTGTAGCGGACCAACTCGTGTCTCTGCGCCAGCTTATTGTTTGTTATCCGATCACTGCTCGTGTTTTAACGAAATGTGATTGAAGTTGAGCATTTGAAAGCACATTTGCATGTCTGGCTGTAGCTGAACGTGTAGAGATGCTCGCTGTTAGTTCTTAGCTCCCAGCATGTTCGGGTTCGAATGCCGTCAGAGGCAACATGTAATTTTTAATTTTTGTCTTGGTTTTTATTAATTTCGAAAAAGCATTTGAGAAGTGAAGAACAAAAGCGTGTACAAACGAAAAAATATAACAGCAATGCCATTGTTAATATGTTGGAGTAGTTTTGTGCTACTCTGATGTAATGCAGGGATGGAGTATATGGTCCTGCCCTAGGACATCGCAATGTCAATTGGACCATATTTTTTAAATGAATTGTGGTTAATTTTGGAGTACTTCTTGGTCCTTAGGGAGTGCTCTTTACACGCATGCATGGAGTAGTCGCGATTTTTGCAGGGTAATTGTTCTTTATTATATGGTTTTGTACTAGTCAGTATATATTTGGAGCTTTTTGCGTTTGCATATGATTCGATCTGCACTTCACAGCTGCTTTTTTGTAATTAAGAAAACACCAAAAATAAAAAAAATGTATGCTGCGTCTAACGGCATTTGAATCCAGGACTACCTGAAAGCTCAATAAAAATGTCTAGGCAATACCACTCTGTGTGTCTATAAATCTGAGAGTCTCGTTATTTGTCTACCTCTAGACCGGTTCCTTAATGACTGGCTGTAAACTAACATTTTCGATGCAAACAAATGTCGAATTCTAACCGGTAAAATTTTAACCTGTGAAGAACTGGTGCTTATTGCTTTTTAGCCATTAGTTTTTTAATAACATTTTTGTGCTATTTAACCACTGTTTAACAAATGCGGCTTTGCACTGTATACCAACACACTGCTTTGACATACTACTCAACACCGACCCCCAACCCACCGTTAGCATGGCACAGCAGAGACCCATCATCAGTCGTACACTCGTTAAAAAGTTGTTTCAGTTGCTGTTTCCATCGCCCCGCCGCACCGCTGCCTGACGAGCTGGTTAAACTCAACCACTGCTTCTTCTTTGCTCGAAATACTGTACTCGTCCACTGAGCGATTTCAAGCGGCCCCCTTCAGCCCACTTTCGCTCCTCCCACCCTCAATTCTATTGCTGTGACGCGGAATCGTCTCCCTCCCCTGTGAACCCGTTTCTGTTGCCTATGCGGCTGTATATGCTCCCATACGTACGTACGCTGGCTGGGCTGGTGGTTGGCTGGTCATTTGACTGTGGTGTGATGAGTATTTCATTCGTTCGTATGCTCGTTCGTTTGCCTTCGTTGATACTTAACTCAACTGGCTGGCGTATGGCTGATACAATGACTTGCTATAGGCTGGCTACTACTAGCAGCGACTTTATACTAGCGAACTGGCGAACGAAACACTTGGGTATCTGGCAAAGGCAAGCAAGCAAAACCAAAAACCGAAGGCAAACTCTGCACTGAATAAAATCTAAAGTATACTGGCAAAGCAATACTACAAGGCAGCCATAGCTAGTGGAAGTATAGAAGAAAATTATAATTTTAGTGCGTGAATTAAAATCGAAATTTCAACGTTTTTTGCCACAGGTAAGTGAAAAGTGCTTTTCCATCATCGATTGAAAATTGTTCAAGGTGTGTAATTTTTGCAAAACCGCACAAATTCGCTGCATTTTATTACATAAAAATTGCGAAAGAAAACGACCCAATTTGGCGTGGGTTTTCTATAAAATTTTCATACTCGCCGACGAACTATGTGGAAGATTTCAATATGGACGGGTACTTGGCTGGCTGGCTGGTTGGCGGGTTCGTTCGTTACGACTTTTGTTCCGAGTACCGTTGCTCGTCGATTAGTGGCGTTAATATTCTCGTTTCTGATATATTCCGCTGTATTTTGTACTGTAAGAAAATCAAGTGCGCGCGTTTTTCATATTTTCCCATGCAAAGCAACCAAACGACGGTTATTATTTGAAAATTGCATACAAAATTTAAAATGCGCTTTGAAAATGTGGCAAACATGCGAAAATTTTCTCTATGGTACATTGAAAAATGTGGTTAATTACGTCGCACTAAAAAGCAAAGCCGTAAGATGGTGTGAGAGTATAGGCGCTTGAGCGGTGTAGTGCAGAGTGTGACGCTGAGTACGAGGTTTGTGGTGGCTAAGCGATGCCAGGGGAAAGGGGCGATGTCAGGGGGGGAAGAGGATAGTTTCATTGCACGGGCAGAGGGAGCAGTTAGACGGGGGCAACGCAGTCGAGAGCAATGTGGGGCGATGATTGTTCACACCGGCAGCGTTAACGGCAACGTCAACGTCTGCCTATCTAATAGGGCGCCACTTTACAGCAATGTAAATGAAACGAGGGGTATAATAGCGTTTTTTAGGTTAGGGTGTATGCATAAATACATACATACATATACATATATGTATACATATGTATGTGTATGCAGGTATACAAGTGTATTTGTGTGCAGAGTTGCGTAGCGAGCAAACGATATGATTATTTCATAATCGGAAAGTGCGCGGGCGCAGGGCATGAGCTGTCAAATCTCAATATCCAAGTATGTACCTACATACATACATATGTATGTATGTATGAAAGTTTGAAATTTCTCATCAGCTTTATACCGTTTAACATTCCATTTAATAAATTATTGGCTCCAAATTTGCAAAATCGGGAAAATGTATTTTTTGATTTGAACTCATGTGAAAGAAATCATTATTTTAAATTTATGGTTTTCTTGACTTCAAATACACACACAAGTACGTAAGTACGTACGTACGTACGTTTGTATGTATGTATGTATGTACATATGTATGTATGAACAATACTGGGACGTTCATAGCGTTTTATGGGGTGCTGCTGCGCCCGCGGTCTTTATGCGCGCGCGGCAATCAGCAGTGCGCTTTTAATCTGTACGTTGCTGCAAAATTACACAAATATGCTAAAGAAGCGGCGGGCGCACGAAATATCGTAAATATGTATATATACATATATATATATGTATTAGACATTTACGGCGCCAAACCACGCTGCCACCGCCGCTGATTTTCCCAATTTCTCACGCGCCGCCGCCGAGTTACGGAAACTTCGGTGCGGTGGCATCGGCGGCGGAGCTCGGCGCCTAAAGGCCCGTTTACAGACAACTTTGGCGTTGCATTGGCGTTGGCGTCGATTGTTCACATACAACTTTGGCGTTGCATTGGCGTTGGCGTCGCTTCGACAGCAGCGCGACTAACGCCAGTGCTTGCTCCAATACACGCATGGCAGCGAATACTGACAGATAAATTCATATTTCAAACCAATAATTACATTTAAGACCTATACGTGAAAAGTTGAGAGTTAGGCATCTTTATGTTTTGTGTTGGCGTAAGCGTTGTTAAATTTTGGCTATGTGGATGTCTCCAGATTCTACATACTAGCCTTCGCTTTCGCTGGAAGAATCTAAAGTCATTTATAGTTTGCTTATAAGACTTTTAGCAGTACTTGTTGAAGGCCCATTAATGTTGCTTGATATACTACTTAACCATTTAGCGCCTGCAGCGCATTCGCAAAACGTATTCGTATTGATGCGAATGCGAATGTCGAATGCGTGTGCGTAAAATGATGCGAATCATTCGCTTAACGAATACGAATCACATATTCGCAACATGCCTGGTATGTATGTGCCTAAATATAAATAAGTACGTACGCATACTATGTAGGTGCCTATATTGAGCATGCAAGGGTGGAAGCAAAGCTGAATCAAAGCTCTGCTAGCTATTTCGGACTAATGGCCGATATGTATTACAATATGTTGTTGGCTATGTTGAGCCTCCCTCGCTGGCAAACGCACGTTTTGTTCGCTTGTGGTAGTAGGCTTTTGGTTTTTGCCACGCTACTTTTGTGGCATTTATACAAACAAATGTACAAACGCAGAGATACGGACTTAATCGCATAATTATGTGTGTATACATACTATACATATGTATGTATGTATGTGTTTAAACTCTTCAACTACATACAAATGTATGCTGAATAGCAACGTCGACCAAGCAATGGCAACTTTCGCCATTAAACGCTACTACAGTCTCGTCTAATAACTACTACCCCATGCGCACATAATTTTATTCACAGTCGTGTCAAAATTCATACTACAAAGCTTCACAATCTTTATTGACAGCACTGTGCTTGCAGGGACACGCACTGTATTAACCAACAGCCACCATACGAACTTCATCCGCAGTACTTTCGCGCGCAAATTTTAGACAGGCAAGTACCTGAACCTTACGGAGGTACATTGTATGTGTATATGCATGTGGTATATAAATACATATGTACATCTGTACGTACAGTAAAGCAATTGCGAGGCGATGTCAGTGGGTTGTAGGAGTACACCGTTGCAGCACGCACTCCATTGTTAACTCCATCATCTACAAGTCCGCCAGCTAAGTCAATGAAGATACGCATCTTTCAGTCGGTCGGTCTGGCTAGTCATGGGGCAAAAGTGAATTTGTGTGGCCACATGCATACTTATGCACATATGTACATGTGGTTATGCTGTTGAATGGCATCGTTATTAATCTACGTATTTATTGCATTGGCTTCAGGGCTTGTGCTATATTGAGTGTGCGTACTGCTGCTTGGCCACATGTGGATTTAGTGTTAATTACTGCTAATATTTCACCTTGACCTACATTCCATAGAATGGTGCATAGATTCAATTTTCCATTTAAATTTTTTTTTTTGGGGTTTTAACAGAAAATTTACCAATGATTCGATGTACTGTTTTAAGAAACACTGTTTTTAGGAATCTAACCAAAAATTTGGTTAAATAAACAAAAGCCAAATCAAAACATCCGACGACTCTCTATACATGTATGTAAGCTATAAAAAAATTGTTTGTTTAATTTAAGAAATTTTATCTTTTACTTAACTTTAAACCACTTCTAAAGCATTTTTAACTTAAGTGACCGTCTTTGATGAATTATGTTTACATGCACATATGTATGTACATAAGCTGCATTTTTTTTGTAAGCGAGCGACAAAAGAACGCTCAACTCGGGCAAAACTTCCTTTAAGCTACTTAAGCAACCCTGCTGGTAGCTGGCAAGAAACATGTGATTAGTTCAACGGGATTTAGACACAAAAAACAATAGAAATTAGTAATTATGCGAGGTATTAGCGTAATATATATACATTTTTAAAATATAAATCATGTATATACGAAAACAACAATTTCCCTATCCACTTTCTCATTAACAATTCACAACAGAGCAGTTTTTCACTTAACACTACTGTTCAGGTCGCGTATTTTTTAACCGACCTGGCTGAACTCGTTTGTGTTGTTGCTTTGCGTGTATTTCATCATTTAAGCGAGTGTTCTTTTGTAGCTCGGTTGCAAAAGAATGGACCTATAAATACATATGCATGTATAAGTCCGAATATGTAGTACCACATATGTGAACTCGAATNTGTACATGTGGTTATGCTGTTGAATGGCATCGTTATTAATCTACGTATTTATTGCATTGGCTTCAGGGCTTGTGCTATATTGAGTGTGCGTACTGCTGCTTGGCCACATGTGGATTTAGTGTTAATTACTGCTAATATTTCACCTTGACCTACATTCCATAGAATGGTGCATAGATTCAATTTTCCATTTAAATTTTTTTTTTTTGGGTTTTAACAGAAAATTTACCAATGATTCGATGTACTGTTTTAAGAAACACTGTTTTTAGGAATCTAACCAAAAATTTGGTTAAATAAACAAAAGCCAAATCAAAACATCCGACGACTCTCTATACATGTATGTAAGCTATAAAAAAATTGTTTGTTTAGTTTAAGAAATTTTATCTTTTACTTAACTTTAAACCACTTCTAAAGCATTTTTAACTTAAGTGACCGTCTTTGATGAATTATGTTTACATGCACATATGTATGTACATAAGCTGCATTTTTTTTTTNAGCGACAAAAGAACGCTCAACTCGGGCAAAACTTCCTTTAAGCTACTTAAGCAACCCTGCTGGTAGCTGGCAAGAAACATGTGATTAGTTCAACGGGATTTAGACACAAAAAACAATAGAAATTAGTAATTATGCGGGGTATTAGCGTAATATATATATATTTTTAAAATATAAATCATGTATATACGAAAACAACGATTTCCCTATCCACTTTCTCATTAACAATTCACAACAGAGCAGTTTTTCACTTAACACTACT